CATTGTTTATATAATAGGAGTTCAGACATACAGATTTGTTCCAAAATGTTGTTTCTGATCATAAATTCCACCTTGATAGACAATAATCAATCCATCAGGCAAGTGTTGTCCAAAAATTGTTTTGATGAACATGATAAAAATTTCACTCATTTTTCCTTTCTGATTGAGCATATTTGGGATAAATATGAACAAGTATTTACTAATGTAATCATCTACCAATATATGTGAACATGTCATGTCTTATTCAGGCTTGTAGCAGAACCAGCACTAAGTAGGGTATCTTGATAATGAGGCTAATTGTTGTTAAACTGTACAATGTTGATAGCAGAAACTACACAGGAAAGAATGGCTTTATTATTGACAGATTTAAAACCACACATCACAGATGTACACAGGAAAGAATGGCTTTATTATTGACAGATTTAAAACCACACATCACAGATGTACACCATCTGTGATGTGTGGTTTTAAATCTGTCAATAATAAAGCCATTCTTTCCTGTGTACACCTGTGATGTGTTGTTTTAAATCTGTTAATAATAAAGCCATTCTTTCCTGTGTACATCTGTGGTGTGTAGTTTTAAATCTGTCAATAATAAAGCCATTCTTTCCTGTGTACATCTGTGATGTGTGGTTTTAAATCTGTCAATAATAAAGCCATTTTTTCCTGTGTACACCTGTGATGTGTGGTTTTAAATCTTTCAATAATAAAGTCATTCTTTCCTGTGTACATCTGTGATGTGTAGTTGTAAATCTGTCAATAATAAAGCCATTCTTTCCTGTGTACATCTGTGATGTGTGGTTTTAAATCTGTCAATAATAAAGTCATTCTTTCCTGTGTACACCTGTGATGTGTGGTTTTAAATCCATCATGTAACATTTTTTACTGGACACAGCTGAATATTGTTGAAGGAAAAAAATCAGATGAGGTAAAGACTGATACTCTAGGAACTCTTACAAGCCTGCCAAATAATCTTTACCTTGAATCATATTCTGTCACGAGACCAACAACTCAAGTCTAAACTCTGTTCCTTTCTACAAATAATAAACGTAACTAAGAACTGAATACTCACACACGGCTGACAAAACCAATACTTGTCTACCTTCTCGTTAGACATATGATAACAATCTCGGCACTGTCGAATCTCTCCTAAGTCATAGATGCAGTCACGTAACATCTGCCTTGCCATGTCTGCCATTATGCTATGAACTGAAAACGAAAGGAAAAAGAAATATCTTTATACAATAATAATAATACAGCTTCTGTAGAACTATCAGCTTATATTGTATTACTTTAAACACGCTTCAACTTAGTAAAACTTTGTCAATCTCTTTCTTTTACTCCACAATTCCACAGTGGACTATCTAAGGTGTGTCTACTCGTGCGATGGGATCAATCCCCAAACTCTAGCCTTATAAGTCCTCAAGCCTAGTGTTGAAAAAGAAATATCTTTATACAATAATAATACACCTTCTGTAGAACTATCAGCTTATACTGTATTACTTTAAACAATAATAATACAGCTTCTGTAGAACTATCAGCTTGTATTGTATTACTTTAAACACGCTTCAACTTAGTAAAGCTTTGTCAATCTCTTTCTTTTACTCCAGAATTCCACAGTGGACTATCTAAGGTGTATCTACTCGTGGGATGGGATCAATCCCCAAACTCTAGCCTTATAAGTCCTCAAGCCTAGTGTTGAACAACATCAATATTCTAAAAGGTGGCAGAAGGAAAGAAATAGATGATGAAACAGTTTCTCGAGTAGTCGATATAGTAACGTGGATAACTTAGACGACATCATATAAATTATTTGAAGAAAGTTACTATAAAACAAATTATAAAAAAACTACAATCAAATATACACATTTTTATAATCATTGTGAGGACTACTATATTTAAAAATATTAATTTATAACAACTTACTTTCCCCAATGTATATTTTAACAAATAAGCATAAAATAACAAAAACAAAATCAAATCTATAATTTCATCATTTTCTTTCTGTGATGATGAGTGGTCAATACACTCATTTACTATTACTTCTTGTTCAGTGGGTTTGTTTCGTACGCGTTTATCACTCAGAAACACAGGTGTGTACACACATTCACAACATCAACAACAGAAAAAAAGATCATCCAAATAGAGACACCAGAAAAAATTTTTCTTTAATACTTACCTTTTATAATTTAATTTTCTTTAATACTTACCTTTTATAATTTAATCTTTAATACATCATTTAAAGGTTTCACAACTTACATATGTTTGAATTTTAAACTTACATGATTTAATGATTTTATGTAGAAATACTTTTATAAACAGTCACATACTGACAATTTTATTGACGCTTGTTCACTAATTTCACTCAACCTTATAAGCCAGAAATATCTTCTACAAACTCTAAATGTCAGTATCTTGTAATTATCTAAGTGACATAAATAATCAAACTGACCACATAGATACATTTCAATTTCTTTCCCTTTGCATTAAATTAACTTGTACATTGCTTTCTAAACACACACATTATCTATGTAAGTTAATACTGCTTGAAACCCAGTAGAGAAGCTATTATAGCAATAGGCCTATCTGAATGGAAAGGAAGGGTTTTAGGGATATCTATGTAAGTTAATACTGCTTGAAACCCAGCAGAGAAGCTATTATAGCAATAGGCCTATCTGATGTTAATCACACTAATCCACTTACATATATTATATAACATTGTCATTTACTGTGGAGGTAGGTGTATGTTAATCACACTAATTCACTTACATATATTATATAACAGTGTCATTTACTGTGGAGGTAGGTGTATGTTAATCACACTAATCCACTTACATATATTATATAACAGTGTCATTTACTGTGGAGGTAGGTGTATGTTAATCACATTAATCCACTTACATATATTACATAACAGTGTCATTTACTGTAGAGGTAGGTGTGTGTTAATCACACTAATCCACTTACATATATTATATAACAATGTCATTTGTTGTGGAGGTAGGTGTATGTTAATCACACTAATCCACTTACATATATTACATAACAATTTCATTTACTGTGGAGGTAGGTGTGTGTTAATCACACTAATCCACTTACATATATTACGTAACAATGTCAATTACTGTGGAGGTAGATGTATGTTAATCACACTAATCCACTTACATATATTATATAACAGTGTCATTTACTGTGGAGGTAGGTGTATGTTAATCACACTAATCCACTTACATATATTATATAACATTGTCATTTACTGTGGAGGTAGGTGTGTGTTAATCACACTAATCCACTTACATGTATTACATAACAATGTCATTTACTGTGGAGGTAGGTGTATGTTAATCACACTAATCCACTTACATGTATTACAAACTTACATTATCCAAGTTGTAACTATGGATGAGCTATTTATTTTTTAATTCCTTTTCAGTCCTTAAAACCCTTCCCTTCCACTACTTACATATATTATATAACATTGTCATTTACTGTGGAGGTAGGTGTGACAAATATTTGAAACACATTATTCCCTGCATTCAAAAGAAGTGACTTTACTTTTATAATGGTAAAATTAGATGAGAATGTGCAATGTTACTAACAACATGTGTTTCATGTAATACACAGGACAGTGTATACTAACAACATGTGTTTCATGTAATACACAGGACAGTGTATACTAGCAACATGTGTTTCATGTAATACACAGGACAGTGTATACTAGCAACATGTGTTTCATGTAAGACACAGGACAGTGTATACTAACAATATGTGTTTCATGTAATACACAGGACAGTGTATACTAACAACATGTGTTTCACATAATACACAGGACAGTGTATACTAACAACATGTGTTTCACATAATACACAGGACAGTGTATACTAACAACATGTGTTTCATGTAATACACAGGACAGTGTATACTAAAAACATGTGTTTCACGTAATACACAGGACAGTGTATACTAACAACATGTGTTTCATGCAATACACAGGACAGTGTATACTAACAACGTGTGTTTTATGTAATACACAGGACAGTGTATACTAACAACATGTGTTTCACGTAACACACAAGACAGTATATTAGCAATATGTGTTTCACATAATTAACACAACAGTATATACTAGTAATATGTGTTTCATGTAATAGACACGGGAACTGCATAAGATGGCTCACACGGAGGAGGAACAGTGGAGACAGGATCGCTTGATCTACAAGAAAATGGATATACTCAACATGGAAGAGAAGACGAAAGCACAGCACTACCGAACTCTCGAAGAGTTTCAGATTGATGCACAGAATATCGTTCATAACATTGTCATTTACTTTGGAGGTAGGTGTGTGTTAATCACATTAATCCACTTACACATATTATATAACAATGTCATTTACTGTGGAGGTAGGTGTATGTTAATCACATTAATCCACTTACACATATTATATAACAATGTCATTTACTGTGGAGGTAGGTGTGTGTTAATCACACTAATCCTATGTTGGTGCTATTCTATTGGCTACCATGCTGTCTTAGGTATGTGCCTTCTCGAAAATAAAAACTTAATTAGATTGCTTGAATCTGGAGAAAAACAGTCAAATGACTGTTTACTTTCTGTAAACAAATATTTCAATATTAGCAGTATTTATGTGCCTGTAAATCTTTTCCTATTTTTAAGGAGGTTTATATGGTGCACAAGAAATACTGATATTTGGCATGTGTAAATACAAGGGATTTCAGCAAGCATTGTAACAAATTCACTATGAGAAAAGCTTATATTCCATATGTAGGTGAGGAATTTTCTTTGTACAAACACATTCATCTTGTGATAAATAAATGTTAAAAAAATAGGTCCTCTAACATGAAAAATAACTTCAAATTTCATGAACTATATTACAGTTAGGTCCTCTAACATGAAAAATAAGTTCAAATTTCATGAACTATATTACAGTTAGGTCCTCTAACATGAAAAATAAGTTCAAATTTCATGAACTATATTACATTTAGGTCCTCTAACATGAAAAATAAGTTCAAATTTCATGAACTATATTACAGTTAGGTCCTCTAACATGAAAAATAAGTTCAAATTTCATGAACTATATTACAGTTAGGTCTTCTAACATGAAAAATAAGTTCAAATTTCATGAACTATATTACAGTTAGGTCTTCTAACATGAAAAATAAGTTCAAATTTCATGAACTATTTTACAGTTAGGTCCTCTAACATGAAAAATAAGTTCAAATTTCATGAACTATTTTACAGTTAGGTCCTCTAACATGAAAAATAAGTTCAAATTTCATGAACTATATTATATTTGGAAAAAAAGGTGGCAGGATCAGTGAAAACTGATACCATTTGCTGAAAGCAAACATAACAGATAATCAAAGCAAACATAACAGACAAAAAAAAGGATTTCAATTTAAAAAAGGCTTCATTCAAAGTACTTTAAATCTGGTATATAAAGTGGTACATTGGCTGTAGTACAAAACTACATCACTGAGATTGAATTTCAAATAAGGCCTATTTGGATCACAAAGTGTGATGTGATACTGGTCAAGTTATTTCCTGCAATGTTAAGAAGCATTAGAGTGAATCAAATCTGATTAATGGCTGAAAATATTGCTAAAAGCGAAGATGCCCAACTGATGTGAAACAATGCATTCATAATTTTGTAATTAAGAATGTAAGGACAGTATACTTAATTAGCCAGGTTGATTTGTAGTTATGGTTTACACTGTTTTGATATAAAACACACGTTAACAAAAACAGTCTCATTGTTAAGAACATTAGTTTAAACTGTCTTGACTTCTTTAACAGCATAGAAAACTTGTATACAGCATAATGTATCTTGCTGTATGTGTTCAAAACTATTACACTAACACTAACAAATATTGTTTACCAAATTTATGTTTATCATGCTATCATTAGATGCTGTATTCAGGTTAGTCTATTATTAAAATATTAAAATCTTACTTTTTCTTTCAGTCTTAGGCAGGTGTAGCTGAGCAGGGTGTTTAATTCATGTTTTTTAACTTTCATTTGACTTTTACTTTTCAGTGCCTATAGCAAAGGAAAATAAGCATGTATTACCACCAAAATATTTTAAAAACACAACCGTTTTTAATTACTTGTAATACTTTGTCAATAGAAAAGTTCTCGAGACCAAAAGGCTTAAACACAAAAAAACCATGATTTACAACAGAATGGTATTCAAAACAATTATTGGTTTGATACAAATTAACAGTACAAAACTACTGAATAGCTTTCTTTAGTGATCTCAGATAGTTACACCAAGGTACTTTTAGAGTCCTCACTGAAACTTTCAGTAATTTTTAATTTGATTCTAACTCATTTATGAAAATAAAATTGTTGAAATACAATTAGCAAAACTAGTCATAAACCAACAACTTAAAACAATAAAAAAATATCCAAGTTCATTCTCCTACATATCTCATTGAAATTCTTAGTCAACTCATTACAAGTAATATGAAAAAAAAGACAGACGATACCACATGACATGTTAATATTTACAGGTTCTACAATCTGTTTATTCTACATTTTATGAAAGAGACAGACAATACCACATGACATGTTAATATTTACAGTTTCTACAATCTGTTTATTCTACATTTTATGAAAGAGACAGACAATACCACATGACATGTTAATATTTACAGGTTCTACAATCAGTTTATTCTACATTTTATGAAAGAGACAGACAATACCACATGACATGTTAATATTTACAGGTTCTACAATCTGTTTATTTTACATTTTATGAAAGAGACAGACAATACCACATGACATGTTAATATTTACAGGTTCTAC